TGCTGGATCATATGGAAGATCTATCTGTAGTTGTTTGAGAAACCTCCAAATTGTTTTCCAAAGCGGTTGTACTCATTTACATTCCCGCCAACAGTGTAGTAGTGTTCCCTTCTCTCCACACCCTTGCCAGCATTTGTTATTCACCATCTTTTTGATCATAGCCAGTCTAACTGGAATGAGGTGGTATCTCAGTGTGGTTTTAATTTGCATTTCCCTGATGACTAGTGATGTTGAGCATTCTTTCATGTATCTCTTAGCCATTTGTATGTCTTCCTTTGAAAAATGTCTATTCACCTCCTTTGACCATTTTTTAATTGGGTCAGTGTTTTTTTTACTGTATAATTGCTTGAGTTCTATGTATATTCTGGATATTAGTCCATTGTCAGATGCATAGTTGGCGAAAATTTTCTCCCACTCNAGAAGTGGTTTGTAATTCTCATTGTAGAGGTTTTTCACCTCCTTTGTTAAATTGATCCCTAGGTATCATATTTTTTTTGGTGACAACTGTAAATGGGCTTACTTTCTTTATTTCTCTTTCTGTTAATTCATTATTTAAGTATATAAATGCTACAGATTTGGGGGCATTTATTTTGTATCCTGCAATATTACTGAAGTTATTAACCAGCTCTAGGAGTTTTTTGATAGAGTCTTTAGGTTTTTCTATATATAGTATCATGTCATCTGTAAGTAGGGAAAGTTTGTCTTCATCTTCTCCAATCTGGATTCCCTTTATTTCTTTCTCTTTCCTGATTGCTCTAGCTAATACATCCAGCTCTATGTTGAATAGAAGTGGTGAGATTGGACATCCTTGTCTTCTTCCTGTCCTAAAGGGGAAGGCTTTCAATTTTTCCCTATTCAGAGTAATACTGGCAGTGGGGCTTGTCATAAATGGCTTTTAATGTGTTAAGATATTTTCCTTCTGTACCTAATTTGTTGAGAGTCTTTATGATGAAGGAATGCTGAATTTTTTCAAATGCTTTTCAGAATCTGTTAAGATAATCATATGGTCTTTGTCCTTGAGCTTGTTTTTTTTTTTTTTTAAATTTTTATTTTGTCAATATACAATGTAGTTAGTTATTGTGTCCC